GAAGGGAGGGCTTGGAATGGGGGAAAAAAATAAGAACCCAGATGCATTATGTAAAGGTACAATTCCTAATGAGAAATGTAATTGTGTTGTATACCTAAAATATACCAATAAAAGAATTTAACAACAACAACAAAAAAAGTACATTGCTTTACGGTAAATGCTCTTGCAAGTCTTCCTATACTTTCTTTAAATAAATTTTGGACTAAGATAAATTCAAATTTAGAAATTAATACTCACATGCCTCCCTCGATTCCTTTGGCAATTGAGATTTTGAGAAACTTTGAACATATTTGCTCGTGTTCTCATGACCTGTGAATGCTCTACAATCTCCACATAAATGCACTGAGGTTAGAGTGTATCTGAAAGTGAACACAAGTGAAAGTTCATGCATTCAAAGCTTACCTACATATTTCATAAAATAGCAAATATTCTTCAGAAATACATCTAGTGACTTGTACAATAATCTTGCCAACATTTGAAATGATGAAGTGATATAAATGCCCAAGTATATATAATAATAATTTGCTTTTCTTTTTAATGTTTTAGTAGCATTAAATATTCCACTGATTTGATGATACCATTTTAAGCTAGATTCTTCATTTCAGGCAGACAAATTTATGCAGATCTACTTGCTGAAGATGCATTTTATAACTTTGTGTAAGATGGACTGAGATATGTGATTACAAAATCAGTAAAACTCAAAAATATAAATTTAATTGACATCTTTATGTGGCACCTATTATTTTATTGCAAGACTGATTGCTTGTTTCATTACATATTACCAGATAAGCTGAGGATACACTGATCTTATTGGAAACTAATGTCTTACAACATTTTCTCCTTTATTATTCAAAATATTTAATTTAGAAATTGAAAACTTTGCAGGAATAAAGTATGAATTTATAAGTAGAAATATTTCCTGTCCTTTCTTTTTTGTGCTGATATCCAAAAACTTGCCTTTAATCACAAATAAAATAGACTTGGCTACACTTTTACCAGAAACTGTTGTTTTACAAGAAATAAACTATTTTCAACTGTGAATTTCACATAAATTTAATTTTTCACATTGTTTTAAGTGAACAGATGATAATTTAGTAGCAGATTTCTCCCCCAAATGCAATGATTTTAAATATATTTCACCTCTTTCATGCTTTTGAATTTTCTAGAGTTTTTATTCCAATTATAAGTTCCTTATGCTTTTATTTATTCTTCTGTATAATTGAATTTTTGTTTGAAGCACATGTGTCTCAATTTTCCTTAGACAGTCCCAGATTATACCTATCATCCAGGCAACCATGCAGCTGTGCATTTTCCTCTGAATTTTACACTTTTAAAAATAAGTATTGTGAAAAAAAAAAAAAGTATTGTCAGCAGATGCGGTGGTATGTGTCTGTAATCCCAGCACTCTAGCAGGCTGAGGCAGGAAGATCACAAGTTCAAGGCCATCTTGGGAAACTTAATGACTTAGTAAGATTCTCTCTCAAAATTTAAAAGAAAAGGACTAACAGATGTATAGAATAAGGCAAGATGACTTTTCCCACTACTGGGCCAGGGATTTAGCTCAGTGGTTCCACCACTTGCCTCACAAGTGCAAGGACCCAAGTTCAATCCTTGGTACCAAAAAAAAAAAAAAAAAGCATAGACTTTTGCCACTACTCTATTTTTTCTTTCAGTTTTCTCATTTTTTACCTAGCAGCTGGCAAGAAGCATGCATAGCAATGTTATATTAAATCTAAAAAATGATCAAAAATAACTAATGTCTCTTTTCAATATTTTCTATATATAATATAGTAAACAGGCATCTTTCAAAGGACAACATACTGAGCATTCATGGACCAAATAGAGTTTAAGTTGAAAGTCCAATAGCTAGAGACAGTTAACTCCTTCTAGTCTTGAGTAGTAGTGGGGAAGATATTTGTGATGACTGCAGCAGATATTCACATGTGGCCCTTGTGGCACACACCACAGCCTAAAAACCACACGAAGCCATCAGATTACCAGTAGTTGGAGTCAAAGGAAATGTACAAGTCAGTTGTGTATAGAAATAGCCTGTAACTGTATACACAGGAAATAGATAATTAGGAATCTGTTGTTTGCTTTATAGAGTTGTTCTGACCAATAAATAGTCACTAACAAAAATTATTCAAATTTAAGATAACTAAAACTAAATTGAGTTTAAAATATTCAATTCTTCAATCACACTAATCCCAGTTCAAGTGCACACCAGCCACATCTGTCAAATGGCTGAAGGATTGGACTACACGAATATAGAACATTTCCGTTATTGTCCAAATTTCTATGCCACAAAGCTGATATAAGGAATAGTATGTAACATTCAACATCCAGCCAGTTAAATATATAAGGCAAATATTAACAGAACTGAGAGAAGAAATAGATGGCAGTATAATAATATAGTGGAATTTAATGCCTCAATTTCAACAATGAATAGATCATCAGGCATATCAATAAACAAGGGACTGACCAAAATAGACCTAGCAAACATATAAAGTCCCCAAACAGATTAATCTCTCAGAGAAGTTAGTAGGAAGAAAACAAATAAGCTGATTAAAACTCTGGAAAAATAACTTGAATAGTCATTTCCCAAAAGAAGACATACAAAAACCCAAAGTTATATGGAAAAATGCTCAACATCACTAATTATCCAGAAAATGCAAACTACAATCACATTGAGATGTGACCTCACACTTGTTAAAATGGCTGTTAATAAAAAGGCAATGACAACAAGAGTTACTGAGAATGTGGACAAAAGGAGCCTTTGTAGACTGTTAATGGAATACAAAACACTAGAGCATTATGGAAAACAGAATGAAAGTTTGTCAAAAATTAAAATGACCCAACAAGGCCATTTGTCCTGCCACTCCCTGCTCAGAGGAAGGGGCTTCTGTGCCACCGTCCCACCACTGCCAGCTCAGAGGAGGTGAGCCACACAGATGCCAACCCCCCCCCCCGCAGTGTAGAAATGAGAACACACGCAAAAAGTCTCAAGACTAGACTTCCAGATCACCTACAGCAACCCCAAAGGGAAATGAGATGGAACACTCTGATATTCAACCAGCTGGACTCCCTGAACTGGCAACAAAAGAGGATCTGGAAAAAATGAAATCAGAAATAATTTCTCAGATTACAGCAGAGATTGTGCTTGTAGTGCAAGACATGATTAACAAATCTAGAGAGGAGCTGAGGAACATTATGGAATCCCAACATAGGAAACAAATGGAACCCATAAAACAGATGCAGGGTCGGGGATTTAACTCAGTGGTTTCACTGCCTGCTGCATAAAACAGATGTAAACAGGTTTCAAGGAGATCAGAAACTCCATTGAAGGTCAACACAGCAGAATGAGCCAATGTGAGGACAAAATTTCAGACATAGAAGATAAGAGTGCAATTAGTGACCAGGAAAAGAAAAATTGCTTCAAAATTGTAAGGAACCATGAGAAATCAATCCAACAGCTGCTAGACAATGCAAAGAAGAATAACATAAGACTGATTGGAGTCAAACAAGAAACAGAAGAGTGTGCAGATGACATAAAAAAAACTGTTCACAGAAGTGATGGCAGAAAACTTCCCAAGCAGGGGAAAAGAACATGACATACAGACAAGTGAGGCATATAGGACTTCAAATAGCTTTGATCAAAAAAAAAAAAAAATCTACACATAGGCATATAATTGTTAAGATTCCAGAAACTCAACAGAAGAACAAAGTTCTACAAGCAGTCAGAGAAAAGAAACAAATCACATACAAAGGAAAGCCCATCAGAATCAGAGCAAACTTCTCAAAACAAACCCTCAATTCAAGAAGACCTTGGAGTGACCTATTCCAAGCCCTAAAGGAAAACAGCCTCCAACACAGAATGATTTACTCTGCAAAACTCTCTTTCAAAATTGATGGAGAAATAAGATATTTTCTCGACAAAAAGCACCTTAGGAACTTCGTGAATACCAAACCACTACTCCAAAAAATTTTAGACAATATCCTAGGAATAGACAATGAGGATCACAACCCAAGGAAGCACAGCAGAAGGAACTGATTGGGCATGACAAGAAATTAAATGTAAAGGGGGAGAACCCTATAAAAAGGAAAAGTCATGACAATGATAAGTCAATACATATCAGTTATAACCATCAATGTTAATGGTCTCAGTTCACCAATCAAAAGAAATAGACTGGCAGAATGGGTTAAGAAGCAAGATCCAACAATATGCTGCATACAAGAAACACACTTAATTCAAAATGAAAGTCAAAGACTGAAAGTTAAAGGGTGGAAAACAATACTCCATGTGACAGGAACCTGAAAAAAACCAGGAGTAGCTATCCTCTTTGCAGATCAAGTAGATTTCAAACCCACACTGATTCAAAGAGACAAAGAAGAACACTACATCCTTGTAAAGGGAACAATCCAACAGTAAGAGATGACAATCATAAATATATATGCAAGAAATGCTAGTGCACCCAATTATACAAAACAAATACTAACGGACACGAAAACTCATATATGCACTAATACAATTGTAGTGGGGGACTTCAATACACCACTGTCACAAATAGATAGATTGACTAGACAAAAAATAAGTAATGAAATACTAGAAATCAATCGAACACTTAAACAAATAAACTTAACAGACGATTACAGAGTGTTCCACCCCACAAAGTCAGAATACACATTCTTCTCAGCGGCACACAGATCATTCTCTAAAATAGACCACATACACACTCACAGAACATGTTTAAGTAAGTGCAAAGGAATTGAAGTTATCCCCTGTATATCATCAGACCATACTGCAATGAAATTGGAGATCTACCACAAAAACTTCATAAACACATAGAAGTTGCACATTGCTAAATAACTAATGGGTTACAGAGAAAATTAAAGAAGAAATCAGACAGTTCCTTCAATTAAATGACAATGACAATACAACATATCAGAATCTATGGGTCACAAGGAAAGCAG